CAGGCTCTTCCAATCCAGGGCACTCCACTGCTGAGCAGGGCAGCTCCTCAGCTTTTCCTGGGGTGGAAGGCAAGAAAAGGACCCTTCCCTTTCTCCATATTTGGGGCCAGGCCTGGCCAAATCAAAGCCCTGTCAAAGTCCCTCAGCCCCCTCCCCAATTCATACATTTACCAATTCATTCACTCTCACTTCATTCACTTGCTGGTGCTTTCTATATAAACTAAAATGAAAACTTTAAAGTTCTGCCATAAGCAATGGAGCATGTTCTAGAAATGTTTCTAAATTATAACCTGAGAGAATGTCGATCTACCTAGTGTGAAAATGACTCGGGCCATGATTTAATTTGTTCTTTTTTTTTTTCAATAATTCAATTTTGTTTTTCTCTAACGATTCCTTTTCTTTCCTGAGCCACTTTAGAACACTTACAGGACTGCCTCTGTAACTCCTTATTCCTGTCCCAGAAAATGTAAGCTCAAAATCTCTAGTATCCACTGGCTTTTTCCAGTGTGAAAGCTTTCCCCTCGGCCTCCCATAGATCACTGGAAAGGACCCGAGGCCTCAGTTCTAATACCTGGCTTGTCACTAACTGGTTCGGCTTGTGGTTTGGCTTGTCCCTTAGTCTCTGTGAGTCTGCTGCACCCTCATCTGTCAAAGGTGGAACTGGACTTAGTTGAGCTCTGAGGTCCATATAGACTTGGCCCCTTCACATCCTCTTTATGTCAACTGGACATCAACTTACCAGAGGACTTCCCTGAAAAATGTCCTCTTCTACCTACAACAGGCTGTTTCTGTATATGCATGCTTCCTGCTGAGCACTTCTTTCTGGGGGAAGATGGCAGAGGCCATTTTTCGGCAGAGATAAAGTGATCTGAAGAGTCACCTGGCCCCTGAAGAGTGAATGGTAGGATCCAGCCACCCAGCATGCAGTGAATTGGAGCAGGTATTGCAGCACACGGGGAGGTGGGAAGGCTCCCCACAACCTGGGGCACCTGCTGTTCCTCCAGACTGCAGTGCATGCTCTTAGCTCATCCTCTTACCTGGCTCTCACCATACTCCTGGCTTTAGTCGCCACATCGCTCTCCAGCTTCAGGTAGCATCAGCAGGGCTTGGCAATATACGCTGGTTTGGTTTATTTTTGTCTGCAGGTGAAATCCCTAAGGGCTCTGACGCGCACTCCAGCCTTGTGACCCTTGCCTTCCATAAACCATGCAAGCAGCACAGCCACCAGAGGTCCTTAAAACAGCAGGAAGAGTAGGCCTGTCCCCCTTTTGTGTGGCCACCTATCTGCTGAGGAGCATCTGGATCTCGTTCCTCCAAGTCCACTGGGGGTACAGAAGAGGGAGTAAGAGGCATGTCCTGGTGGAGCGGGAAGAAAGGCAGAAAGCCTTTTTGACAGCTATGGAATACCGTTAGCCAAGGCCCACTAGGCCCAGCATGAAGCAAAGAATATGTAGTTTGCATAGACGGTTTTGTGATACTGCTTCTTAACAGCCCCAGCGGTGTGGGAACTAGCAACAGCACACTTCTTGCCTCATTAGCTGCCTGAGATGGAAAACTCAGTGGATAGAGGACCCTGATTCTGATGAATGAGGCATGTGGTCCCAATGCTGGAGCTCCTCTGGCAGGTTCTAAAAGCACAATACTGAGCAGCGGTGCCCTGCTGGACAATACTGGTGGGGACTCAGTAAGTGCTACTCACAGATCCACACCTGATCCTATTGGGTCGAGTCGGGCTGGGCTTTGGTCTGCACTGCAGCATCTGTTTTGAGTTCACATCATGAATGTGGTGACTCCCAGATACCATCTCAGGCTTAAGCTAGCAAATCCTATTTCTTTTCTTCTATGATATCCAAATTAGACTGACCTCACTTAAAGTACACTGTCCCATTTTGTCATCCTATCTTACCTTGGGAAACGGGACTGATAGCAAGATCAATTCTGCTGAAATTCTTGCACAGAGCAATCCTGTGCCCATTTTTAAGTGGCATGGGAGAGGCCCCCAGAGATAGTAAAGCCCAGTCTGTGTCTTCACAGTGCTGACACAGCATGTCTGTGTATAAATGCATGATATAGATATATAAATGTTGTTATCGCCATGTGTTGAAGGTCAATATAACTGGTGGACAGGGTGGGAGAGAGACAATGGAAGTCTTTTTGATGATTATTAAAGCAAAACAGATATAAACAAATACATAGTTTTTCTTTCACTGCTTTGTTTCCTATTTCTGCACCAATGCCTTGACAGTACACAGAACTAGAAAGAGAACATGGGAAAGATAAACTGTGTTTAAGAAGTGCAGTCTAATGCTTGAACTCTTAAATTTAAAAGGTTAAGGTTTTTCCTCTGTCACTTTGTGAGAATCCCTAGTCTGAAAATATGAAAGAATGGTTCTTGAACTTGGTGTACCTTAGAAACAGCTGTGGAGACTATAGGAGCTACATACTGGTCTCCAACCCAAGGAGATGTAGTTGGTGTGGCCCCAGAGTCTGCCTTTTTATACTATAAGCACCACAGGCAATTTTAGTACATGAGAGCTGTAGATCATACTTTAAAAACAGTGTTCTGTCACACTGCATCAAAACTAAAAATCCATTTAAGACCCTTTAGTAAAAGAGTATGTAATTCCATCAACATTGACATAAAACTTTTAAAATGCTTTTTGGGAAAAGTTCTTTTGGAGACAAGGGGGAAAGTGTCGGACTTTATATTCAAACTGAGTTATCAGTCTGGCCATAGTAAAACACAACCCTGAACAGAACCCAACAGCGCTTGATTCCAGGCTGATGTCCACAAAATAAATTTAGACTCACCCTGGGCCAAAGGGTATCAGCTGCCCCAGGAGGAAGAAGAGTTCACCAAAGTTCTGCTCAGCTTTGGAAATTAATTGGGCTTCAAATAAATGTCAGGGGCAGGCAGGCTGCAGTGACCACAGCACTCCTTGGGCAAACCCTAATGTTTCTTAGGTCTGAAAGATGCCGGACTTGAGGTCACAGCCAGTATGACAGCAGCAGCTGCAGCCGCTATGGGAATGATGCATCACCTGTCCCCATACTCCAGGCAGTGTAGCCTACAGAGATTCCTTTTGCATGAAGAAAACAGAGGAAAGTAAGCCAGAGGCTTTACCTGGGAACCCAGAGATCACTGATCTTCCCCCACGTCCAAGAGGGTTGGGGACCTGGGCATCTGTAAGGACTGCAGTGTACCTGGGCCTAGGTGCCCTCTAGGACAAAAATGGCTCTAGTGACCACTGGCATAGGGAACTGGTCAGCCCACTTTGAATCCCTGGAAGGCGCTCTGAAGGACAGGTACAAACAAGACCTGACTGCAAAGGCTGGAATAAATACCTTATCCTTCAATGCCCAGATATTGACAAATATCAACAGTATCAAGAACACTGAAGTCAATATGACCTCAGCAAATAGACCACATGAGCCGCCACTGACCAACCCTGGGGCGATGGAGACATGTAACTTCTCAGGAAACTTAGAGTAACTATTTTGAGAAAGCTCAATGAACTTCAAAAAAACAGAAAGAATTGAAACTTGTGTCAAAAAAATTTAACAAGGATACTGAAGTAAGAGAAAACAGCAAACAAATCCTGGAGCTGGAAATGCCTTAGTGAGTCTCAGGAGAATTGATTAAGCAGAATTAGTGAGCATTAAAACAAGCTATATCAAATACAGTCAAAGAATAAAAAAGAAAAGAAAAATGAGAAGGAACACAGAATGCTTAAGAGATCTAGAAGAGAACTTCAAAAGAGAAAATCGAAGATTCACTGGCCTTGAATAGGGGGTTGAGAAAAAGCACAGAGTAGAAAGCTTCTTCAAAAAAATAACAGAAAACTTTCTAAACCTAGAGAAAGATGTAATATTCAGGGACATTGTGGAAGACAGTGTGGCGATGCCTCAAGGATCTAGAAAGAGAAATACCATTTGACCCAGCAATCCCATGATTGGGTACATACCCACATGATTATAAAACATTGTATTATATATATATATTTGAGATGGAGTTTCGCTTTTGTTACCCAGGCTGGAGTGCAATGGCGCGATCTTGGCTCACCGCAACCTCCGCCTCCTGGGTTCAGGCAATTCTCCTGCCTCAGCCTCCTGAGTAGCTGGGATTACAGGTACGCGCCACCATGTGCAGCTAATTTTTTTTGTATTTTTAATAGAGATGAGGTTTCACCATGTTGACCAGGATTGTCTCAATCTGTTGACCTCGTGATCCACCCGCCTCAGCCTCCCAAAGTGCTGGGATTACAGGCTTGAGCCACTGTGCCCGGCCAAAACATTGTATTATAAAGACACATGCACAACTATGTTTGCTGCAGCACTGCTTACAATAGCAAAGACCTGGAACCAAACCAAATGCCCACCAAAGATACACTGGATACAGAAAATGTGGCAAATATACACCATGGAATACTATGCAGCCATCAAAAAATGATGAGTTCATGTCCTTTAAACGGACATGGATGAAACTGGAAACCATTATTCTCAGCACACTGACACAGGAACAGAAAAGCAAACACCAGGTTCTCACTCATAAGTGGGTGTTGAACAATGAGAACACACAGACACAGAAAGAACATCACACACTGGGACCTGTCAGCCAATGGGGAAGCTAGAGGAGGGATAGCAGGGGGTGGGGAGATTGCGGAGGGATAGCATTAGGAGAAATACCTAATGTAGGTGATGCGGGGCAGGGGGGAGACAGCAAACCAAAATGGCATGCTTATACCTGTGTAACAATCCTGCAAGATCTGTACATGTAACCAAGAACTTAAAAGTAAAATAAAGAAAAAAGGAAACAAACAAACAAAAAAAACGGAAACAAAAGAAACAAACCACCCTGGAATGTGGTTTGTTCCCAGTAATTTGAAACATTTAAAGAATGGTTAAACGATCACTTGACACTTATACTACAAACAGGAATAAGACAGCCTGAGTTACACATCATTCATTTGAGAAGATAAATTTTAATGTCAATTTTTCAATCTTTACAATCTTTTTATTGGAAAAACATTCTCAATCTTAAAATGATCATGGCAAAGAAAACAAAGGATTACAGTCCTTTTGCTTTTTCAAATAACAAACATGGAAATGAATTCTTATGAACGTCAAGAGTCAATGTAGTGTGGCATATTAAGAATTGACTTTCATATAATGGCTAAGTTTGGAGAGATTACATTTCACAAGAAAATATTTCATGCATTTTAATGGATTTTCTATTCTGTTCTGGGCAACGGTTGTTTGTGTCTTTTAGCGTATTCTCCTTCCTGTCCACATATGTGGAATCTGCCTATTCCCTTCTCTTCTGAAATAGTTTAAAAGACTCAAAGAGAATGGTCTGGGCTTTGCACATCCTTAGTCTGATAGACATTACTCTGGCTGCTCACTTAAATAGATATTAGCAGCTAATTAAATAAACTACCTCCATCAGCCAGAAATTAACAAAGGCTTAAAAATTAGCAAACAAAGGCTCTGTTTTGCTGTGGCCTTAGGTGCTGACAGCCTTATCTTAAAGAAAAAAAATTTTCTTTGTATAGATTAAAATTAAGATTGGCAATAATTGAAATGCAGGGAGGGAGTTTTTTTGGTTCAACAACAGAAACCAGCAAAAGCGAATATACTGCAAAAATAGAAAATTTCCAGTGTAGAGATGTAAATACAATAATTGACACAGCCAGGGATGATTACTGAATAATAAAATGTTGAGGGATGATCATTTGAATACAGGATATTAATACCTTTAAAAACCATTTTTCCAATTACTTCCATATAAATATGAATATATACATCCGCATAAATAAGGTGTCTCTGAAAGGTACAGATCTGGCATCACGATCATGGTGATAGACAAATGGTGGAAAAGTCCTGGTATCACGATCATGGTGGTAGACACACGGGACCTTCTCTACCTGCAGATGGGTGAGGTAGCAATGACACTGCAGTGTTCCCGGAAAAACACTTAGGCTGAATTTAAGCATGAGGACATTTTCAGACAACTTCAGAGTACAGACCATTGAGCAGGACGGCTGACCTGTCCTCTACAAACAAGCCCATGTCACCACCATCAACGACAACAACAACAAGGTGAGGAGACACTTTGGGTTCAAAAAAACTAAAGAAATGTAGCTACATTATCTTTTTACTCTTTTTCAACCCAAAACATCTCTTCTACTTTCAGTTGTGTGATTTGTGGTGACATGGGCTGTCTGAAGGAGACAGGTCAGTTGTGCCACTCACTGTTCTACATTCTGAAGTTGTCTGGAGATTACCTCAGGCTATGAAACTCAGGCTAAGCGTTTTCAGCAAGAACATGGCATGGTTCATGCTCTGCACCGGCAGAGTCCCGTGTGACACATTGTCTTAGTGTGGAAATATGACCCCTATCCGGGAGACCAGGTGGAGTCCTATCACCGTCATAGTAAGAAACCCACTGTCCATGTCCAAAGTCAAGCGAACATGCTCTTCTGCATATAAAAAAACGGCATATGTGTAAGCCTGGCATGTGTAATAAAACTCAAGATGAGCTGTATATGTTGAATACAATATATCCAGTGAGTACCAGAAGACTTCAGGCTCTTCTGCTTCCACCAGCTCCATGCTGAGCCTAAAACAGGAGAAAAAAAACAAAGAATAAGTCAGGGAAAATAAGACACCGCAGAGCCCCAACTCGATTTCATGGGTAGCACAAGAAAGTGGTTGATAAAGAAAAAGCATAGATCCACTAATGATGTAACAAACTATTGCCTTATGCTGGGATGGACAAGAGTAGGGGAGAAAAGAATGAAAGAGAGAGAGAGAGAGAGAGAGAGAGAGAGAGAGAGAGAGAGAGAGAGAGAGAGAGAAAGTAAGCTCAGTGAACCGTCCAGGTGACACACTGATAAGGGAGTAAAAGGACACTCTGAGTTAGTGCCCTCAGGACACATAGCGTACACTGATCATAAAAACAAGTATGGTCAACCTACAGCAGTTAGTAAATGGTAAGGGGAGGAAGAAACCAAAACCTAAGTATCTACTGCAATGAAAACCAACAGCAACGTTTGGAGGAATACTTCAGGCTTCATTGAAAAGATGGTATCGATATTGTCAGCCCACTCCATTTTCCCTGGACCTGGCGTCTCCAGGTGTCAACACAAAATTAGCTGTTCACAGTTGCTCAAAGTTACCTGGGGCACAGTGGGCCTTGGTCTTCTTCCTCTTCTTCAACCTTTTTAATCGCTGCAATAAATTCAGATAGGGACAGACAAAGTTAGCCATTGCCCTACACCCGTAACAGTCCACTGTCTAATCCCTGCACGGGGACCTCAGACTCCTCAGCTTGAGAACAGGATAACGTGAGAGAGAGACTTCAGGAGGTCTCAAGGCCAATCATGATAGAGATTCCTTGGTTTGTGTCTCAGAACCAATGGTGAAACATCCCTATTCTGGTAGACCATTATCCCTTTATCCCATGTTTGTACAAACAGGAAAGAACCTCACAGACATGCTTGGGGAACAAAACTCATGAGGAACTTGGTAGCTGACAAGAGACATTTAATTCAGATTGACAAACAACTCGTGGGCATGTGCTGCATAGCTTGGTGTTAATTTGCAACACCCACCTTGGGTTTCAGTGTCCTGACAGTTGGTCCAGGGTGCCATGGGCATGGACTGAGACTAGAGAGAGAGCAAAGCTCACTGACCCAACCGATGCCCGTGCTTCAGACTGGAATCCGGAGTGACTGAAATCTGCACTGATGGACAGGTTCAGCCCACAGTAATGACAACTCTCAGCGCGGCCAGGGGAGCAATGCACAAAGACTATGGGGTCTATCTGGGACACAAAGTGGAGCTTTATCACTTTCACAACAGAGTACTCACTGTCTATGTCATGAGCCAAGTTGACCTGCTGTTCCTCTAATGAGCGCAAGTTGGTCCTGTAAGGCTCATTGAAGGCAAATGTGCCAGGAGGAATTGAGAGAGTCGAATCATCTTCATCCCAGGACTCCTCGGGGGCTTCCTCCTCCACATACTCCTGCAGATTCCTGATGAGCCAAACAGGACAGGGATGACAGAAGATTAAACCAACATGGATTAGACAACAAAGTCTCCCAGCTGATCTGATGGAAGTCAGAATGGAGTGGTCACAGAAAGCAAAGGCATTTTTCCTTCAAGAGAAAAAAATATTGCTTCTAAATGCAGGGTGGAGGGTGACTGCACTGGATTGTGAGAGCACAAATGAGCAGCATGTGCTCAGTTCATGTGCCACTGCAGGCCACACAGACTCTCCCTGTAAACTCTCATCACGACTTGCAGCACGAGAACACGGGGCTTCAACCACATCGCATAAGTTGTGTTGAATTTTACATGCGGCATTCAAGTGGACAGAGCTCTTGAGGCACTTCAGACACCCAGATCCGGTGCATTAAGGGCCTCCTTTTTTCCAGTATTTTCATATAATATGTCTATGTTGTGAATTTCTTCTCTTCACAAATCCTAGCAAACACAGTCACAACAAATGGGCAGAAAGCATATATGTGTCTCTCCCTGGGTTTAAACACAGTGGGGAGAACAGGTGAAACCAGGAAATCCCTGTTTGCTGAGTTCACCTGGCTCATCTGATTGCAGGTTCCCATCTTGGTAGGAGTCAGAAATTAAAATCTATACACGTGCCACAAATCACCCACAACACTGTCCTCTCTGCAACACAGCATGGCTGCCATGGGAACCGGAGAGAAAGACAGCAGCTGGTATTCCTTACACTGGGTAGAAAGGAGCCGAGAAGAAAAAAGACTCAGTTATCCCTGTATAATTCAGACACGGCACTCAGCACATACAAAGAACCACAACAGCTGCCACACCCTGTGTCTAAATTGGGTTGAATTGAACATATTGTGGCCAAGGGAATGGAGGCTTTTGGCCCATGGGAGACGCCAGAGAGAATGTGCTTCTAGACCTTTTCCATACTTTACCACCCATTACTTGCTCCAGCTTCTTCCCTGTTACCTGGGGGTACGTGATTCCTGGATGTTCTCAGCCTCCATGACATGAACGTCTTCATCCTCATCTTTGTCGTTTTCTGCAAGTACAGATGTGTTCGTTATTTCCCCTTTCACACTCTGCAGGGACAGTCAGCCCAATGTGCGCAGGGACATGAACATCTGTGTACGGGTCCCTGTTCTACTGAAAGCTCTCATGTTTTCTCCTTAACAAAATGCCCTGGCATGGTTTCCTGATCCACCGAACGATGCTTTTCAGATCAGGAGGCTCACCGTCAAGATGAGACCAAATGTTGAAAAGACCTTCTGCTCCCACATCACTGGAGGCTTATGCAGCCTCTCTCTGGACTTTGGCAGCTGTCTCTGTCATCCTGACACAGATCTGATTCCCAGGGACATGCTTGGCGTCCCGTCACAGCTCATATTTACAACCTATTTCTTTCTCTTAAGAGAGGATAAACAAACTTGTCCCACAATCCTCTGCACATCAGGTGACTTCACAGGCTCTCCAAGTGGCTTCTGTTATGTTATTCAGGGACATTCTCTCCATGGGGAATGCTCCACTCTGAACCACTTCCTACCACCAAATGCCCACACATCAAGTGCTTTCTCCAACAGCACACAGCGAGGGGCTTTATCTCTTTGTGATAAGCGGTAGTAAGTGTTCACACATTTGAATGCTTCAGACACTGCAAGATGTCTGCCTTTGCAGATGGGGAGAGAGAAATTAAACTGTCTTTGCAGATGGAGACAGAGAAAGTCAGGAACAAGAAATCAATTGCTCCCTGACAGTTCCTAAGAACACTGCTGAAGATACAGCCTGGGACCTTCATTCTTAGTCCAGAGCTTTTTCCACTCCAACAACTGCCCTCCTGCCACAGCTTCCTTCCTGTCCTTTACAACTAAACAGATGCTGCCTCCTGTTCCAAAGACCGCAATCCATCACGGAAGGAGGGACATTTGTAATACGGTGACCTCCAACTCCATGGGTTTCCCATCTGTGTTCTCATTCAGAAAGTCCTAGTCATGTCATGGCCACATATGTTTCGTGGAAGAAAACACCAGTGATAAAACTGTCATTGTGGAATTATGGAGATCTGGAGCCTCTCATAAGGCCATAAAAGAAATATGCACAGACTAATAAAGTTTCCCTTATGCTAGACACAGTAGAATGAAGAACTAACAGACAGTGTTGGCCGGGCGTGGTGGCTCACGCCCATAATCCCAGCACTGTGGGAGGCCGAGGTGGGTGGATCACGAGGTCAAGATATCGAGACCATCCTTGTCAACAGGGTGAAACCCCGTCTCTCCTAAAAATACAAAAATTAGCTGGGCATGGTGGTGCACACCTGTAGTCCCAGCAACTCGGGAGGCTGAGGCAGGAGAATTGCTTGAACCCAAAAGGCAGAGGTTGCGGTGAGCCGAGATCATGCCATTGCACTCCAGTCTGGGAAACAACAGCGAAACTCCCATCTCAAAAAAAAAAAAAAAGAAACTAATAAGTGTTTACTCTGTGCCAACAACTGTCCTGGGAGAGTTACAATAAATAGGCCATCTAATTCAGTGCAGCAATTAAGAGAGGTAAGCATTATTATAGTATCCTACGAACAGATGACAAAACTGAGTAACAAACAAAAGAAGCAACTTGGAGGGAGCTCAGGAGACTGGCCCAGAGTCCCTCCTCTATGTACTGCTGCCTTCACAAAGTCATGGGTGCCGTCGTTCTTCCTCTTTACCAATGAGAGCCTCTGCAAAGAAAGCAGGACGTCCCTCTGACCAGAGTAATCTCTGCTCTTGATGATGCCACTTACAGATACCACAGGGTATGTAAGGAGCAGAGTCCTCTTTAAGCTCCCTGTAGCAGGAATAGTGTGCTACCATGCATGTCCCCCAGAACAGAGCTTTCCCTACTGAGCCTCAGCAGAAACCGGAACCAAATGAAGTTCAGCAGCCTCAGACATTTAGAACAACAGACTAGATGCTACTTGTCTGCGGGACCTTAGGTGGTACAGAGAGAATTCCTGTGAACATGATTTAGCCTCTTCCTGAGAAAAACAGGTGGTTCTGTGCCTGTGTCAGAAATCAACAGCTGAGACTTTACCCTCAGTCCCACACCCGCCTTACTGCAGATGTGCAAAAGTTGCTACATAACTTTGGCCTCTCTTGTCTACCTTTAACAAAATGTTAAAATACCCATTTATATTTTCCTAGATGTATGGTAAAAATGAAATTAATTCTGATGAAGAGAGACTTTAGTTTCTCACAGGAAACACAGAACATCGTTCAGCACTTTGGTGACGGTGAACCTATAAAACTTACTTTCCGTCTTCAGCCTGCAGCCCGGGTAGTCTTGACTCATAAGAAGTTTATTTTTGCTGTCTCTGTATTTCTGTTCTTCCTCATGACGTCTCTGATCTTCTGTAAACAAATTCAGAAGAGCAGGTCACATTAAGCAAATCACACTTCACACAAGACCAAATCAGTGTCTAGTCATAGAACAAGGATGAAAAATATTCTCCGTTTCAGAATGTGATATTCTGAAGGGAATGTTCTACTGGTCCCTAGATTAGGTCACCCTAGAAGTAGATGAGCCTGCTTTTCAGATCCATAGGACAAAATCTCCCTTATCTGCTAGATCTTAATCACTTATCCTCTCACCTAAGTCAGCAAAAACAATTAAAACTTTGTCCCCAAAATCTTCAAAAATTGCCCTACTTTCCAGAAGCACTGCAGTAATACTGATTTATCTTGTCATATATGATGTTTAGAGAAATTTAAAGAGAATAGACTGACAGATGAATTCTAACAAGCTTTACATAGAAAAGAATCTGTGGAGCCAGCACACTGACTCATGCCTGGAACTGGAGCAATTTAGGAGGCCCAGGAAGAAAGATCACTTGACCTCAGGAAGTCAAGACCAGCCTGGCCAACATAATGAAAACCCACCTCTTACTAAAAATACAAAAACTAGCCAAGGGTGATGGTGTCCACTGGGGATCCCAGCTAACTAACAGGCTGAGTCACGAATACAAGGGTACTCCCTGCTCTTGATGGTGCCACTTACCGATACCACAGGTTGTGTAAGGAACAGACTCCTCTTTAAGTTCCCCACAGTGGGTACTGTGTGTTATCACCGTGTTTACCCCAGTGTCCCCAGAACACTGCTTTGCCTACTGGGTCTCAGCAGAAACCGGAACCGAATGGAAGTTCAGCAGCCTCAGACATTCAGAACAACAGACTAGAGGCTACTTGACTGCGGGACAACATTGCAGCAATACTGATTTATCTCATCATATGTGATGGTCAGCTAATGGTTAGAGACATTTACAGAGGAGACTGGACCAACAGATCCATTTTTAATAAAATGCTAAGGTACCCATTTATATTTGCCTAGAAGTATGGGAAAAATTCAATAAATTCTGATGAAGAGAGTGTTCAGTTTCTCAGAGAAAAAGACAGAAGATCGTTCAGCACTTTCATGATGATGATGAACCTATAGAACTTACTTACCTTCGATCTTCAGCCGGCAGCACATATAGTAGGCTGCTTGCTTCATAAAAAGTTTATTTTTGCTTTCTCTGTATTTCTGTATTTCATGATCTTGTCGATCTTCTGTAAACAAATTCAGAAGAGCAGGTCACATTGAACAAATCACATTTCACACTAGACCAAATCAGTGTCCAGTCACAGCACAAGGACAAAAAATATTCTCAGTGTATAAATGTGATATTCTGACTGGAATGTTCTATCGGGCCCTAGATTAAGTCACCTGAGGAGTAGGTGAGCCTGCTTTTCAGACCCATGGGACAAAACCTCTCTCATCTGGTAGATATTAATCATGTGTCCTCTGACTTAAGTCAGTGCAAACTATTAAAACTTTTTCTCCCCACACCTTCAAAAATTGCCCTAATTACTTTCCAGAAGGGTTGCTGCAATACTAATTATCTGATTATATATCATGGCCAATGAATGGTTAGAGAAATTTATATAGGAGACCGGACCGACGGATGAATTCGAACAACCTTTACTTAAAAAGAATCTGTGGAGCCAGCATTGTGGCTCACACCTGGAATTCAAGCAACTTAGGAGGCCCAGGCACACAGATCACCTGACCTCAAGAGTTCAAGACCAGCTGGGCCAACATGGTGAAACATTGTCTCTACATAAAACAGAAAAATTGGCAAGATGTGGTGGTGCCCACCGGGGATCCCAGCTAATTGGCTGGCTGAGGCACCAATACCTCGGTACTCCCTGCCACTTACAGAAAGCATAGGTTCTGTTAGGTGCAAGGTCCCCTTAAAGTTCCTCATAGTGGGTACTGTCTGCTAACACCGTGTTTCCCCCAGGGTCCCCAGAACACAGCTTTGCCTACTGGATCTTTATCAGAAATCGGAACTGCACGGAAGTTCAGTAGCCTCAGACATTTAGACCAGCAGACTAGATGCTATTTGTCTGTAAAATCTTACTCGGTACAGAGAGGATTCCTGTAAACATGGATTTAGCCTCTTGCTGAGAAAAACAGGTGGTTCTGTGCCTGGGTCAGGAATCAATAGCTGTGATTGTAACCCCAGTCCCACAGTCCAACACACCCACCTTACTGCAGATGTGGAAATGTTGCTAAATATTTTTGTGTCTGTCTTCCATTTTAACTAAATGTTAAAAATACCCATTGCTATTTTCTACAAAAATGAAAAGGATGAAATTAATTTTGATGAAGAGAGCAGTTAGTTTCTCGAGACAAGACAGGACATCATAACTTTCGTGGTGGTCAACCTATAGAACTTACTGCATGTCTTCAGCCGATAGTTGAGGGAGTAGTCCACCTGACTCATAAGAAGTCTATTTTTGCTGCCTCCGATATTGGGTTTATTATCTTCCCGCCTGGACCAGGATTTCTCAATGCCTTCCGGAGTGTTCAACTCAGTGTTTCTTCTGGAAGGAGGCCTGCCAGATGCCACCTTGCTGATGTTTCGGGCAGAACACAGAAAGCCAGGGACTGGGGAGAAGAAACCCAAACACACGATGTGTTAGAAACTGGTGATTTCAAATTGGTTTAATCAGAACTGAGGGATGTCACTGACAGCACTGCCTATCGATTTAAAGACATTGTTTCCCCACTTTTACTCTTCTCATCTCCACTCTTGATCTCCTTGAAGTCAACTTGTCTTAGCTACTCAGTCACCTTAAAGCCAGGACATAAACACTTCTACCTTTATCTTGCTTATGAGTTCTGCAGGATCTTATATGCTAGAGAGGATTCCTGTAAACATGACTTACCCTCTTGCTGAGAAAAACAGGTGGTTCTGTGCCTGTGTCACGAATTAATAGCTGGGATATTAACCCTAGTCACACACCCACCTTACTGCAGATGTGGAAAAGTTGCTAAATGCTTTGGCCTCTGTCTTCCATCTTTAACAAAATGTTAAAATACCCTTTGCTATTTTCCTAGAAGTATGGGAAGGGTGAAATTAACTTTGAAGAAGTGAATGTATCATTTCTCATAGACAACACAGGGCATTGTTCATCACTTTCGAGACAGTGAACCCAGAGAGTTTACCTTCCGTCTTCAGCCGGCAGCCCAGGTAGTAGGCTACTTGACTCATAAGAAGTTTATTTTTGCTGTCTCTGCATTTCTGTTCTTCATCGTGATCTTTTCGATCTCCTGTAAACAAATTCAGAAGAGCAGGTCACATTAAGCAAATCTCACTTCACCCAAGACCAAATCAGTGTTCAGTCATAGCACAAGGATGTAAAATATTCGCAGTGTAAGAATGTGATATTCTCATGAAAATGTTCTAACAGGCCCTAGGTTAAATCACCTGAGAAGCAGATGAGCCTGCTTTTCAGATCCATGGGACAAAATCTCCCTCATCTGGTAGATCTTAATCACATATCCTCTGACCTAAGTCAGTGCAAATAATTAAAACTTTGTCCCCAAAATCTTCAAAAATTGCCCTAACCACTTTCCAGAAGCATTGCTGCAATACTGATTTATATCATCATACATCATGCTCAATGGATGGTTAGAAAAATTTATAATAGGAGACAGGACCAAGGGATGAATTCTAACAACCTTTACTTAAAAATAATCTGTGGAGGCAGCCCGGTGTCTCTTGCCTGGAATTCCAGCATTTTAGGAGGCCCAGACTGGCAGATTACTTGACCCCAGGAGTTGAAGACCAGCCTGGCCAACATGGTGAAACACTGCCTCCACTAAAAATACAAAAATTAGCCAGGTGCTTTGGTGCCCACCAGGGATCCCAGCTAATTGGGAGGCTGAGGCACCAGTACCAGGGTACTCCCTGTTCTTGATGGTGCCACTTACAGATACTACAGGTTCTATTAGGAGCAGGGTCCTCTTCAAACTCCTCACAGGAGGTACCATGTACTATCCCTGTGTTCCCCTGGTGCCCCAGAACACACCTTTGCCTACTGGGGCTCAGAAGAAACCAGAACCAAGTAGAAGTTCACTAGCCTCAGACATTTAGACCAACAGACTAGATGCTACTGGTCTGCGGAATCTTGTACAGTAGAGAGAATTCCTGTAAACATGATTTCACCCTTTGCTGAGAACAACAGGTGGTTCTGTGCCTGTGTCAGAAATCAATAGCTGGGATTTTTTTTTTTTTAAGATGGAGTTTCGCTCTTGTTACCCAGGCTGGAGTGCGATGGCACGAACATGGCTCACCGAAACCTCCGTCTCCTGGGTTCAAGCAATTCTCCTGCCTCAGCCTCCCGAGTAGTTGGGACTACTGGTGAACACCACCATACCCGGCTAAGTATTTTAAGTAGAGACGGTGTTTCACCTTGTTGACCAGGATGGTCTCGATCTCTTGACCTCGTGATCCACCCGCCTCATCCTCCCAAAGTGCTGGGATTATATGTGTGAGCCACCGCGCCCGGCCAATAGCTGGGATTTTAATCCCAGTCCCACACCCACCTTATTGCAGACATGGAAAAGTTGCTAAATACTTTGGCCTCTGCCTTCCATCTTTAACAAAATGGTAAAATACTCGTTTGTATTTTCTGCAAGTATGAAGAGGATGGAACTAATTTTGATTAAGAAAGTGGTTAGGTTCTCAAAAAAAGACAGGACATTATTCATCACTTTCGTGGTGGTGAACCTATAGAACTTACTGTAGGTCTTCAGCTGGTAGTTCAGGAAGTAGGCCACCTGATTCAGAAGAAGTCTATTTTTGCTGGCTCTGAAAGTTGGTTTGTTTTCTTCCTGTTGGGAGCAGGATTTCTCAATGCCTTCTGCAACTTTCAATGCCTCTGTGTCTTCTCTGGAAGGAGGCTTGCCAGATGTCACCGTGCTGATGTTTGGGGCAGAACACAGATAGCCAGGTACTGGGGAGAAGAAACACAAACACACAATGCGTTAGAAACTAGTGACATCAAATTGGTTTGATCGGAACTTAGGGATATCACTGAGAGCACTGCCTATTGATTTGAAGATGTTGTTTCCCCGCTTTTACTCTTCTCATCTCCACTCTTGGTCTCCTTAAATTCAACTTGTCTTAGCTACTCAGTCACCTTGAAACTATGAAACAAACACTTCTACCTTTATCTTGCTTATAAGTTTTCCAGGATCTTATATGGTAGAGAGGATTCCTGTAAACATGATTTGGCCTCTTGCTGAGAAAAACAGGTGGTTCTGTCCCTGTGTTGGGAATCAATAGCTGGGATATTAATACTAGTCCCACACCTGCCTTACTGTAGAAGTGGAAAAGTTGCTAAATACTTTGGCCTCTGTCTTCCATCATTATCAAAATGTTAAAATACCCATTGCTACATTCCTGGAAGTATAGGCAGGATGAAATGAACTTTCAAGAAGACAGTGTATCGTTTCTTAGAGACAAAACAGGACACTGTTCATCACTTTCATGATGGTGAACCTAGAGAACTTACCTTCCGTCTTCAGCCGGCAGCCCAGGTAGTAGGCCACTTGACTCATAAGAAGTTTGTTTTTGCTGTCTCTGTATTTCTGTTCTTCATTGTGATCTTTTCGATCTCCTGTAAACAAATTCAGAAGAGCAGGTCACATTAAGCAAATCACACTTCACACAAGACCGAATCAGTGCCCACTCATAACACAACGATGTAAAATATTCTCAGTGTAAGAATGTGGTATTCTGACAGGAATGTCTAATGGGCCCTAGACTAAGTTGCCCTAGAAGTAGATGAGCCTGCTTTTCAGATCCATGGGATAAAATCTCCCTCATCCAGTAGACCTTAATCAGGCAAAAAATTAAAACTTTTCCCCAAAAATCTTACAAAAATTGCCCTAACTACTTTCCAGAAGCATTGCTGTAATATTGATTTATCTCATCATATATCATGGTCAATGAATGGTTAGAGAAATTTATACAGGAGACTGGACTGAGAGATGAATTCTAACAACCTTTACTGAAAAAAGAATCTGTGGAGCCACCATTGTGGCTCACGCCTGGAATCCCAGTAAGTTAGGAGGCCCAGGAGGGTGGATCCCTTGACCTCAGGAGTTCGAGACCAACCTGGCCAACAAGGTGAAACCCTGCCTCTACTGAAAATACAAAGGTTAGTCAAGTGTGGTGGTTCCCACCGGGGATCCCAGCTGATTGGGAGGCTGCAGTGCCAGTACCAGGGTATTCCCTGCTCTTGATGGAGCCACTTACAGATAACACAGGTTCTATTAGGAGCAGGGTCCCCCCTAAGTTCCCGACAGCTGGCACTGTATGCCATCACCGTGTTTCCCCCAGTGTCCCCAGAACACAGCTTTGCCTACTAAGCCTCAGCAGAAACCAGAAGTGAATGGAAGTTCAGTAGCCTCAGACATTTAGACCAGCAGACTAGATGCTACTTGTCTGCAGGATCTTATATGATACAGAGGGGATTCCTGTGAACCTGCATTTAGCCACTTGCTGAGAAAAACAGGTGGTTCTGTGCCTCTGTCAGAGATCAATAGCTGGGATTATAACCCCAGTCCCACACCCACCTTACTGCAGAGGTGGAAAAGTTGCTAAATACTTTGGCCTCTGTCTTCCATCTTTAACAAAATGTTAAAATACCCATTTCTATTTTCTGCAAGTATGGGAAGGACGAAATTAATTTTGATGAAGAAACCAGTTAGTTTCTCAAGACAACACAGGACATCATCACTTTCGTTATGGTGAACCTATAGAACTTACTGTAGGTCTTCAGCTGGTAGTTCAGGAAGTAGGCCACCTGACTCAGAAGAAGTCTATTTTTGCTGGCTCTGAAATTTGCTTTGTTTTCTTCATGCTGGGAGCAGGATTTCTCAATGTCTTCTGGAATGTTCACTTCTGTGTTTTTTCTAGAAGGAGGCCTGCCAGATGCCACTGGGCTGACATTTGGGGCAGAACACAGATAGCCAGGGACTGGGGAGAAGAAACCCAAACACATGATGGGTTAGAAACTGGTGACATCAAATTGGTTTAATCGGGACTGAGGGATGTCACTGACAGCCTTGCCTATTGATTTGAAGATGTTCTTTCCCTGCTTTTACTCTTCTTACCTCCTCTCTCATTCTCTTTAAAGTCAACTTGTCTTAACTACTCAGTCACCTTGAAACCAGGAAATAAACACTTCTACCTTTATCTTGCTTATGAGTTCTGCAGGATCTTCTGTTAGAAGGATTCCTTTAAACATGATTTAGCCTCTAGCTGAGAAATACAGGTGGTTCTGTGCCTGTATCAGGAATCAATTGCTGGAATATTAACACTAGTCCCACACCTGCCTTACTGCAGATGTGGAAATGTTGCTCAATACTTTGGCCTCTGTCTTCAAGTATTTTGTTAACATGTTTTAACAAAATGTTAAGATACCCATTGCTATATTCCTAGAAGTATGGGTAGGATAAAATTAACGCTGAAGTAAGTGCATCATATCTCAGAGACAAGGCAGGACACTGTTCATCACTTTTGAGACAGTGAACGTAGAGAACTTACCTTCCGTCTTCAGCCGGCAGCCCAGGTAGTAGGCCACTTGACTCATAAGAAGTTTATTTTTGCTGTCTCTGCCTTTCTGTTCTTCATCGTGATCTTTTCGATCTCCTGTAAACAAATTCAAAAGAGCAGGTCACATAAAACAAATCACAATTCACACAAGACCAAAACAGTGTTCAATCATAGCGCAAGGACGTAAAATATTCTCAGAGTAGGAATGTGATATTCTGACAGGAATGTTCTACTGGTCCCTAGGTTAAGTCACCCTAGAAGTAGATGAGCCTGCTTTTCAGATCCATGGGAAAAAACCTCCTTCATCTGGTAGATCTTAAGTCACATCATCTGACCTAAGTCAGTGGAAAATATTAAACCTTTGTCCCCAACATCTTCAAAAATTGCCCTACTTTCCAGAAGCATTGTTGTAATACTGATTTATCTGATCATATATCATTGACAATGAATTGTTAGAGAAATTTATATTGGAGAGTGGACCAAGGGATGAATTCTAACAATCTCTACTGAAAAAAGAATCCGTGGAGCAGGCATGGTGGCTCACGCCTGGAATCCCAGCACTTTAGGAGGCTCAAGCAGGCAGATCACTTGACCTCAGGAGTTCAAGACCAGCCTGGCCAACATGGTGAAACCCTGCCTCTACTAAATATACAAAAATTTTCCAGGTGTGCTGGTGCGCATCGGAGATCACAGCTGATTGGGAGGCTGAGGCACCAGTACCAGGGTACTCCCTGCCCTTGATGGTGCCACTTACAGATACCACAGGTTCTATTAAAAGCAGGTTCCCGTTGCAGCCTCTCATAGTGGGTACTGTACGCTACCACTGTGTTTCTCTCAGTGTTCCCAGAATACAGCTTTGCCTACTGGGCCTCAGCAGAAACCAGAACCAAATGGAAGTTCAGTAGCCTCAGAGATTTAGACCAACAGACTAGATGCTACTTGTATGTAGCATCTTGTATGGTACAGAGAGGATTCCTGTAAACATGATTTAGCCTTTTGCTGAGAAAAACAGGTGGTTCTGTGCCTGTGTCAGAAATCAATCCCTGGGATTTTAACCCCAGTCCCGCACCCACCTTACTGTAGATGTGGAAAAGTTGCTAAATACTTTTGCCACTGTCTTCCATCTTTAAGTAAATGTTAAACTACCCTTTGATAGTTTCCACAAGTATGGGAAGGATGAAATTAATTTTGATTAGGAGAACGGTTAGTCTCTTGAGACAAGACAGGACATCCTTCATCATTGTCATGGTGGTCAACCTATAGAACTTACTGTAGGCCTTCAGCTGGTAGTTCAGGAAGTAAGCCACCTGACTCAGAAGAAGTCTATTTTTGCTGGCTCCGATATTTGGTTTGGTCTCTTCCTGCTGGGAGTAAGAATTCTCGATGGTATCTGGAAAGTTTGCCTCTGTGGTCTTCCTGGAGCACGTCCTGCCAGATGCTATCATGCCAACGTTTGGGGCACCACAGGTCGGGCCAGGGACTGAGAGAAGACACCCACACACATGATGGGTTAAAAACTGGAAATCAAATAGGTTTCATCAGGACTGGGGGATGTCAGGAACTCAAATTCTTAACTTACTCTTGAGAAAAACTTGATCCTTCCTCACAGCACTTTACGGTCCTTAACCGCAAAAACAAGGTTGAAAATGCTGAGAACTGAAGGAGCTGCCTATAGCTCAGACTCTGACAAGAGTGTGAGAGATAGCGGCCAGTGTCTCAGGTAACTGTCTGCTGTGGCAATAACAGAATTAAAAGCTGGGCGTGTCATGGAATCTTAGGAGCCCTTCATTCCAACTGCCCAGGGTTTGCTAAAACACAGGCCTCCTGGTCTCACCTGAGGTCATAACAGATGGGGACCATTACTCTATAAGTCACTCTCAGTATTTGTGTACCATTGTGACAATGCCACAGTGCCATCTCATTCCCAATACATCTAAGCATGTGCCTCACTTTTCATCTCTTATGTGTATAAAAACATCAAGGCAGAAACAGTTTCCCAACATGTGATACTTCCTTAATGCTAGTCATGAAGTCAGTCATGTTAAACATGTGAGTCCTTCTCACATGTTAAAACAGAATTTAAGGCTTTTCCACAAGTTTAAGATATCAACCTATTATGCTGCCATGATATCCTCTGAGTCTTCTGCAGTTTTTTCTGTATCCACTAGAAAGTCAATGAGTAACTCATTTCTTAAAAATATTTTCTTTCCTAGCTCAATATTCTTCTTGCTGCATCCAATGGTTATGCTGATTTACTTTTCTTACTGGCAGCTGCCAGTACACTAATGTTTGTGGCAGAAGAGGCTTTTCATTACAATTAAGACCAGTGTGACGTCCCTATGTCCAAAGCTTCTTCTAAAAAACAGCCTTAAATTCTGTTTTTTAATGTGACTGAACACTACATCTCATACTTGTCACTTATAGATGTCATTCTAGTCCCAGAAGAGCTCTTTTCAAGGTGTCACATTATTGAAACCATTTCTATAGGTATCTCCTGAAAGCATGTGTGACCATCTAATTTGGGAAGTCTTGGAAACCTGGTATGATTTTGTTGTTTTCATTTCATTTTTTCCATATATTGAAAATAACAGGGCCATGAGCAGTTCTTACGAAAACACTGTTTGATAGATATTTTTCTGAGTTGGTCTAACACCACTGATGTGGGGGTGCATCCCACTAACCAAACATGGCAAGATCAAGGTGATGGTCAGGGGTGGTTGGTGGTCCTCAGTGTTGCTGTGCAATGGAAGGTGAATTTGAGATGAGAGGAACGAGTAGGGAAGAGTGATCCCCTGAACCACCCCCTCACTTTCTCAGCCGTCATCTCCACCTCGGTTTTCTGAGCCTGGGATTTGGAAGACTGTTCTGTAGCCCAAGTCTCCTATGTTTGGCTGCTGGGCTTGCCTGAGTTGAGGGTGCAATGGGTGTGACCCTGGGCTGCCCAGCATTCATGTAAAAGTCAAGGAAGAAGGACTGCCTCAATCCCATTGGAAAACGTGCCTCTCTGCAGCCCCCACCATCCTCCAACTACCTGTAGGGATACTGCGTGGAAATATATCAAAGGCTTTACGTAAATGTATGTTCTGGTGTCTGGGATGCCTGACATTCTGTGGCAGAATGAAAATCTGTCAGGTTCCTTCAGTTTAAAACTGATGAAGCTGTAGGTTTACAGTTATGTGGCTTACTTGCAAGGTCACACAGAGATGAGTTTTGAGCACTGCTAATAAAAGCAGTCACAATTATTCCACAGTTATTCTTAGGATCCATGTCATTCAGTAAATATTCATATCATCATCCAGTAATTGTATGTTGACTAATTTGTATCAGGCATTTTGCTCAAAACTGTGCACATAATTGGACAGCATATCTTCATCATATGCTTCAACGTAATGCTGTTATCCTAAGAGTCAGGTAAGAAACCTGAGAAGAGGGTTAGCAAATCATGAATTTGGCCATATTTCCATTGTTTAGTTTCTGTGATCCTGGATGAATAACCAGAATGAGTCACAGGAAAAGTATTCATTCCTGTACCATTTTCCAGGACAGAGGTGTGCCCTCCTAGAGTATTGGGCCCAGAATTCATTAGTGTCTGCAACCTTGCTTTAACAGCATGGGAAATATCCTCTGTTACCTGGAATTTCCCTGGAACTTTGGAATATACAAGAGAACTATGAGACTTGGTCTTCCCTTGACTATATTTAATTCTCTCTTCTAAGGAACACCTATGATTTTCACTAAGAATTTTGCTTTTCTTCCTTCCTTTTTTTCAGACAGAGTCTTGCTCTGTCACCAGGCTGAAATGCAGTGGTACAATCTTAGTTAACTGAAACCTCTGCATCCTGGGTTCAAGTGATTCTCCTGCCTCAGTCTCCCAAGTAGCTGGGACTACAGGCAGGTGCCACCATGCCTGTCTAAGTTTTGTGTTTTTAGCATAGACAGGGTTTCAGTATATTGGCCAAGATGGTCTTGATATCCTGACATCGTGATCCACCCGTCTCGGCCTCCCAAAGTGCTGGGACTGCTGGCATGAGCCACTGCACCTGGTCAACTTTTGCCTTTTTATAACCACAATGTATGTTTTATGAAGAAGATTTTACTGATAGCTCCATTCAGAAAGAATAACTATGAGCTACAGTTTAGGTTTTATGCCCTGGACTTACTATTTTTATGATTTATTTTGAGATTAAATTCTCATGTAAATAGAAAAATACTTATTACTTATGAAAGCAAATTTCTTTTTTGTTTGATTTCTTTTTTCTTTTTTTGAGACAGAGTTTCGCTGTTGTTACCCAGACTGGAGTGCAATGGCACGATCTCGGCTCACCTCAACCTCCGCCTCCTGGGTTCAAGAAATTCTCCTGCCTCAGCCTCCCGAGTAGCTGAAACTACAGGCGCACACCACCATGCCCAGCTAATTTTTGTATTTTTAGAGATGGGGTTTTACCTTGTTGACCAGGATGGTCTCGATCTCTTGACCTCGTGATCCACCCGCCTTGGCCTCCCAAAGTGCTGAGATTATAGGCGTGAGCCACCGCGCCTGGCTTGGTTTGAGTTTTTGATGCTGAAGCACAAACTGTTGACTTTATCTTTGTCCCCTTCAGTGCTGCTCATTGTCTCCCAGTATGACCTGGCCATGCCCCTGCACTTACCCTCATCTTGCTCAACCATCTCCATGCACAGTCCAATTCCATCAGTGAGTCAGGCTCCTCCCAAGGCTCCCTGAAATGGGTACAGGTAGCAGGATATCAGACACACTCCAGGCACAAAAGTAACCCATACCCTAAGGCAGGCAGTTGTGTTCCCACTTCCCTGAAGTTGGCAGTGATGTCCTAGGACGGGAAGAAATAATTTCCCTTGTTAGGGCTCTAAAATTCATGTAGCAGGGCCTCTGATCTAGTGCACACAACTGTCCTGAATGTGAGTGAACTTGCTAAATTTCTGATTTCTCACTAGGTGGCTAGAATAAATTTGTAAGACTTCCCTGGAATCTTACCAGCATGATTTCTTTTCCCTTAAGGGGCACCTTAGGGAAGATTGGCCCCATTGCCATGCAAAGGGAGGTAAAGTGAATTTCTACTCAAAGAAACCTTGAATTTGAAACTAGGTCTTCCACTGTTTCAAAGCTGGACTGTAGGTCCAAACCTGTACATATTTAGACATAATATCCTCATCAGAATCCTCTGGCATGTGTCCTCAAGGGCTTGTGTGTCTGCTGTACTCAGCATAAAGTTATTTCTCATTATGGCAAGTTATAATTAATTTGCCAAAATTTCATTCGTTATCAAGATAAAGTTATTTATCATCATGGCAAGGACAAATTTAGAAGACTTATTAAATTTACTTCTTTGTTTGCCCAGCTGGAAACAGTCAATAGCTACTGATATCATCAGTGTCTTCTGAAAACCTTGGCTGTGTTAACTGCTTTGACTCAACATGGAGCAGAGGTATTGGTGTACTGTACCTCCATATGCTGAAATATGGCTGAAGTCCAGAATCACTGGCTTAGGCCATACACTGAGGTAATCTCATGCAGCATCGGCCACTGGTTCCAATGAACCCACCATGACTACACTTCTCATCAATCACCAGTCACTAGAATGAGAATTGTGTGAAAGCTGGGATCCTATTTTACTCACCTCTGTGGTCATGGTTCTCAGCTAAGGGCCCAGCACAGAGGGGTCTCTCAGCAGTGTTCATCCATGACTGAATAAAATTGATTACAAACCTCCGACCCTTTCGCCTACATTTCTGTCCCCAGTGTCTACTAAGCATTCTCCTTCCCTCAGAATGCTGCAAATCCCCTTCTCTAGAGAGGTGCCTGCCCTACACCGTCCCTGCCCCAGGATCCTCTCCTGTGGGAGCTTGAAGGAAGGCTAGCCTGTTCTGAATTTTTTTTTTTTGAGGCAGAGTTTTGCTCTAGTTACCCAGGCTTCAGTGCAATGGTGTGATCTCAGCTCACTGCAACCTCCACCTCCTGGGTTCAAGCAATTCTCCTGCCTCAGCCTCCCAAGTAGCTGGGACTACAGGCACGCACCACCATGCCCAGCTAATGCTTTTGTATTTTCAGCAGAAATGGGGTTTCGCCATGTTAACCAGGAGAGTCTCTATCTCTTGACCTTGTGATCCACCCGCCTCGGCCTCCCAAAGTGCTGGGATTATAGGTATTAGCCACCAGTCCTGGCCAATCTGAAAATGTTCTCTTATGCTTCCCCCTGTCATTTGGAGCAATGTTCTTTGACATACCCTTTCAGCCTCCGGGCTGCCACAACACCTCACCTGGTTAGAACTACTGTATCTTGTTGAAATGATGTTTCTGTTCTTCCACTCACTGGCTTTTCTTTGGAGACATTAAATAGCTGAATCCCAAGTGCTTAGCACAGTATAAAGAAAATTAAATACTCAATAAATATTTATGAGAAACTTCCCTCAACTGAAGCTGCAGAAGAATAGTAAAGTATCACTGCTTCACATACAAGCGAGGGACACTTACTCTGGCACCTGACCTAGGGCAGAGCTGTTCCATGTAAGAATGAACACTTCCAACCCTTCTCTAAGCACAGTTATTCCCTCGAACCCACAGTGACCTGAAGAGCATCCACTGCTACGGCAGCCCCGAGGTCAAGGCTCCTGGGTCTGAGGGAGGGGGGCTCACGGTCGCCTCCTCCTCCTCCTGGAGTTGAAGCTGCCCCTCACTATAAACCAGCTCTGATCTACCCTATGGCTCTCCCTGGCCAGAGGCAGGAGATTCCTATGGAGTAAGTTTCTCTCAGTCCCCACTGCTCAGCTCATGCTGCTTCCTGAGAATTTAAGTGATCATACGCATTGCCCATTTCCCCTGAGGCTTCTGTCCCAGTTTGTCCTTATTCTCCCCTTCTTTGGTTTTCATCTATCAATGGCTTATCCTTTGTGGATTATTCTCATCCCCTAAACTTGCTGACTTTCTTTCTTTCCTCAGCTCTGGGATTTCAGGATGTAGACTCAGCTCAGGCTCCTACAGGAGACACACACAGTCAGGTCTCAGCTGACGGTCCCAGGCAGCACCGAAAACCATCTCAATTCCTCGGAGACTCAGAGAAACAGAGCAGGAAGGGACCTCAGAGAGGTACAATAAGCCCCTACCTTACCCATGAGGAACCTGAAACCCAGAAAGACTAAGACTCTCCCAGGCACCCTCACCTCTTGGTGACAGCAGATCCCACACACAAGCCTTGGCCTCAGCCTCCCTGTGCAGAGCAGGTAACTCACCCTCTAGAAGCTCACTGCTGACTTTCAGAAAACTTTAGAATAGAAATACCAATTTCCTCTGTGAAAACAAAAACAGTAAAAGCCCCTTTCCTTGGACAAACCCTTTATCACAGTTCTATAGTCCTGGCATTTATACTCGGTCAGCTGTCACTCACTAGCTGCTAGATTGCGGCAGGGAGCACACAGGATTAAAGAGTGTTTCACACAAGCCTGCTTTCCTGGCCTGGGCTCTCAGCTCCTCGATTCTTCCTCAGAAAGATTCCTCTGCTGTTAACTGCTGGAGAGTCCAGGCCCTCACGTGGGCCATTTCTCCAAGAAGATCCCTGTTATTTTCTTCCTTTCTTGGAGATATAGACGGAAGAGATGGGTTCTGGGACTCCAAAGTCTTAGGTTTTTCTCCTGAGCCAGCCAGATCAGCTGAAAGCAATCATGACTGTGAGAAGTCAGGACAGTGAAGAGAAGCACAGGCTCACAAGGACAGCCCCTCCTAAAGATGCTCAGAACACAGGCAATATCTGACCAATTCTTCTGGGGATGATGCAACAAAGATTAAGTGCAGAATGCTGCCATGAGGGGAAAGGGGAAGAACCAAAAGAGTTGGGGAAGAAGAAAAATAAAATGTGTTCAAAAATGATGGAAAAAAACACAGAGCCTGGAGGCAGAGAAGGGAGGAGCCTGAGAAGGACTCCATGAGTTGTGATTGGTTGAAAGATGGAAAAGACAGGTAAGGAGAAAAGCAGGTGGCATTTGGAGTCAGAGTGTCTCCTGGCTGACAGCCAGCACAGAAAAAGGGCCCTCAGTCCTTCATGAAAAAGAATACAAACTCTTTCAATACATGTAGTGAACTCACAAAAATGGCCTGAGCTCTAGAGAAAAAGCATTTCCAGGCCATTCCTGGATTTTAGCCTCACAGGACCCTAATCAGAAAACTAAGAAAGGAAGGAAAAGAAGGAAACAAGGGAGGGATGGGAGAACAGACAAACTTACATGAAGATGAGGAGATCCAGGGGAACTTACACCACTGATATTTTCCATGAACAGGAACACGCTATCTAGTTGAGACAGAGAGAGAGACAGACGCACTACCATAAAACCATACACCGTGTCCATGGCGTACAATCCTTCCTGCTTCTCTGGGACGCTTTCTGTCTCTGGCCTGCTGTTGCTAGAGACACTGAGTCTTCCCTTTGAATAAGTTCTGGCACCCACAGGAATGAGATGAAACAGTGAACTCTTCAACACCAGGCCACGACCTTTCCTGCTGCTCCTCATCCACTCCAGAAGCTACCTGGCTGCAGGTGTGGGTCTTAGCCCCTGGGTCTGACATCGTCCCTTTGCCTTTCTCACTGGGCTTCTCTCCTTGCACTGGCTCCCAGTCCCCCAGGACCTGGCAGGTGACCATATGAGAAGGACACAAACAGGCCACATCGCTCTTTCTCCCCCTCTTGATGCCTGAAGTGGTGGGTTCCATAGGATAGCAACCTGACATTTACTCATTAAGGTGCCCCTAGCCCAGAGCAGGGCCTGGCACCAACAGCCACCCTGTGAATGCTCAGTGAAAGACAGCATCCACCACAAGGTCCTGAGGAATCAAGAATTCCACAGTGGCCCATCAATTTTAAGTCCTACACCATTCTAGAATGGGATATTGAAAGGCCTTCAAAAGTGGCCACACTCTGAAACGATTATACAGGCAGCTGAGCCATGTTTCCCCATCCTGGACACAACTAGAGGGCACCGCCTAAATCCAGACACATCTCCCCACCCAGGACAGTGCAGGGGCCTTAGCCTGGGAAATGCGGGTGGACGGGAGAACCATGAAAGCTGAAGAGGAGAAAGAAGGTGAAAAGAGAGACAAATGGGGATGGAGACTAGGGGGTGAGAGGGGAAGAGAGAGGATAGGGACTGAGAAAAAGGTCTGAAGAGAAACTGTCCTCTCCTGAAGTCAAATAACTTCCACCTGACCATGCACTACAGCTCGTGGGTGGCACACGCTGGTCATGCTGTGATGTTTAGGGCCTATGGAATCTTCCCTTCTCATCTGAATCCCAATAGAGAGAGGACTCTCTGACCCCATCCAGCTGGCAGTGCCTCATGATTTTTACCTGTTGGATCTAACAGCTCTTCATCTCAGCCCACACCGTGGGAGGTTGCTCTTGGTGTGCTGAATGAGAAAGATTCTACATCGGTGCCTCGGAGAGTCCACTGGAAGCCCTGGACGGCCAGAGTCGGTGGTACCCCAGCATGGAGGCCCAGAGCACACAGCACTGAAGCTCCAGACGCCCTCAGGAGGACAGTAAAGGACAATGTGCCGGTGAGAGCCTGGGTCAGCAGGAACCTCCGCCTGGGTCTGAACATGATTGGCCTTCATATAAGCTATGACATAAAAGAGAGAAATCAAGGTTAACATTAAGATTTGGGGCTTGGGCAACATGAAGGATGAAACTGCCATTTGTTGAGACTCGGAAGACTAAGAAAGGAGCAGACTGAAAGGTGGCGGGAACTAGGGTTGGCTGGGTTTCTGTCGTACGCAATCAACAGCCCTGACCAGCCTGGGCAACATAGTAAGACCCTGTCTCTGAAAAAAAAAATTAGCCAAGCATGGTGGTGCACACATGCAGTCTCAGCTACCTGGGAGACTGAGGCAGGACAATTCCTTGAGTCTTGAGTTACATGTTACTGTGAGCTATGATGGCACCACTGCACTCCAACCTGCAGGAGGAAAAAGAAAAGGTCCTGATTAAAAACTTGCATACCCAGAGAAGTTTTCACAAAGTACTCTTTGAGGCAGATCTTAGTGAACAGGAATTCCATTCATTGTGTTAAGAAATTAAGAGTGTAGGTATGGTTAGTTAATGCTGAATGAACTATCTTTGGAATCTCATCTACTGGTCCATCCGGTCTATTTATATTCGTGTGTGTGTGTGTGTGTGTGTGTGTGTGTGTGTATTCTATCTGCCATCTCACTGAGCTTCGCTAGTTTATGCTGCAGTAACAAAAACCCCCAAATCTTAGCAGCTACACATACAAAGGTTGATTTTCATTGGCATTTCCTTGTATGGCAGGTTAACTGTGACTCTACTCTAGACAAGCTCTTTTATTTGTTAGATGGTGAACGCTGTGATACTTGGAGAATTTATGAATGTGGTTCATTCATTCATTTAATAACTATTTCAATAACTGTATCATACCAGGCAAGGTCAAGTACTGAGAACACAGTAGCAAATAAGAAACAACATCTCTAATTTCCAAGACCTTATATTAAAATGAGATTAAATACATACAAAATAACCATAATGAATATCATATTCATAAATTAAATAGACTTAGTAAATATTCCAAGTTACAAAAATATAAAATTATTAAAACTAAAATGGCCAGGTGTGATAGCTCACACCTGTAATACCAACAACTTTGGGAAGACAAGGTTGGAGGATCATTTCAGCCCGGGAGTTTCAAACCAGTCTGGGCACCATAGGAAGACCCTGCATACAAAAGATACAAAATTAGCCAGGCATGGTGGTGCATGCCTGTAGTCCCTGCTACTTAAGAAGGCTGAGGTGGGAGGCTGCTTGAGCCTGACAGGTCAAAGTTGCAGTGAGCCACGATCATACCACTACACCACTGTACTCCAGCCTCGGCAACAGAGCCAGACCCTATCTCAAGGAGAAAAAAAAAAGGAGAAGAAGAAGAAACAATTTAATCGATATACACTCCTGATACTATTATGTAGAATCTTATCGTCTACATTATATCACATCAGCCCTTTACTTTAAGTGGCTTAACAGTTAGATATGATCCATAAAATTTTCCTGGTAATTAAGCATACGTAAGAACAATTAAGTATAAAAGAGGTACTGCCTTGACAGGAAGATTGTAAAAATGTTTAAAGACAAATAAATAAAAAGAGAATAAAACCTGTAGTTCTGTGATACGCAAATAACATCTAATTGAAGTCATAATGATTATCTAGCAATCATTCTGAAAACCAAAGAATTCACTTAATACATTTTGCCTGAACTCCCAACAGATCTCACTTACCAACACCTGTATGTAGCCAAGAAACTGACAATAGTTTATAAATTACCACCTATGACTCCATCTGCTCTACCCACTTAAAAAATTTCATGTATTTCTTTATTCTTTATTATTTTTTGTAGAGACTGGATCTTGCTATGCTGCCCAGGTAGGTCCAGAAACAGACCCACACTGATTTGCTCAATCAGATGACCATACAGCCATCCAATTAATGAAAAAAAGTGCTACACAGTGCAGAAGGACAAAGATGGTCTCCTCCATACATGGTTCTGGATCAAGCTGTCAGTCACATCCATGTAGTAAAAAGTGAATCATGGGTGGGTGGGTTGGCTCGAATCCTAGCCCTCTGGGAGGCTGAAGCAGGCAGACTACTTGAGCCCAAGAGTTTGAGACCAACCTGGGAAAATGGTGAATCCCCATCTCAACAACAACAACAAAAAAATAGGAAACTTAGCCAGGAATGGTGGCACATGCCTATGGTCTCAGGTACTCAGGAGGCTGAGTGGGGAAGATTGCCTGAGCCAGGAAGTGGAGGTTGCAGTGAGCTGAGATTATGCCACTGCCCTCCAGCCAGGGCAATAGAGTGACAGCCTATCTGGGGCACAGGGGTGGGGGGTGGGGAAGCATAAACTAAACTAAAATTGCTATGAGATTCAGTTTTCATATTCTTAGGTTAGGCACTGATTAACAGGACACAAAACACAGTCACCGTAAACAAAAAGATTGATCAAGTATAATTTCATGAAAATTAAGAAACTCAGGCTGGGTACACTGGCTCATGCCTGTAATCCCTACACGTTGGGAGGCCAAGGCAGGTGTTATCACTTGATCCCAGGAATTCCAGACCAGCCTATGCAACGTGTTAAAACCCAATCTCTACTAAAAATACAAAAAAGAGCTGAGCATAATGGTGCTCCCTTGTAGGTCCCAGCTACTTGGGGGCTTAGGCAGGAGAATCTCTTGACCCTAGCTTGGGAGGTGGAGGTTACACTGAGCTGTGATTGTGCCACTGCACTGCAGCCTGAACAACAGAATGAGATCCTGCTTCAAAAAGAAAGGAAAACTGGAGAATCTCCATTCACGTAAAAACACCATTAAAAGAGTGAAAAGGCATGCTACAGTTTGAAAAATAGAGAAATGTAATACATGTAATACATATATATCCTAAAAAGGAGACACATCCAGAATAAAGTATTACAAATCAACAGAAAAACAAGCATATCAACGAAAACAGGATAAGAATATTGAACAGGCACTTCACAAAAGAGGACACATAAATGGCAATAAAAATACTCAATCTCAATGCCAGGAAAATGCAAAATAAAACTATACTGATATATTACTTCACCTCTAATAGAATGGCAAAATAATTTTGAATGGACAAGAATAAGCAAAGATGTGGGGTAACCAGAATATTCCCCGCTCAGCAGTACAACCACTTTGTGAAAATCATCAACAATAACTGATACTAAAGTTTTGTCATTCACATACCTCTAAAACCAACAATGCCACTCCTACATTTATACACCAATCTAGTAATGTTCTATTTCTTGATATGTGGTGAAATTTACTTAGTGTAAATTCATTACCTGTATTTCTTTTCTTTTCTTGAGATGGGCTCTCACTCTGCCATCCAGGCCTGAGTGCACTGGCATAATCATGGTTCACTGTAATCTCAACCTCCCAGGCTCTGGTGATCCTCAGCCTGCTGGGTAGCTAGGACTACAGGCACACACCACCACACACAGCTGATTTTTGAGTTTTCAGTGGAGATGGGGTTTGCCACGTTGCCCAGGCTGGTCTGGAACTCCTGGGCTCAACTGATCTGCTCACCTTGGTCTCCGGAAGTGCTGGGATTACAGGTGTGATCCACGGTCCCGGGACCACCTGCACATTTAAAATTGTGAGCTTCCTCTGTAGACTTCAGTAACTTTCCCAAGACTTCTTTGACACAAAGGTCTCAGAAATCTTAAAGCTACCGTTTTAGAAGAGAAAAAACGAGCTTCTGGTTCACAGGTGAAATTTTACCAATAAAATTTAAAAACAAAAGAAAGCTACTAACGCTTATCAGCTCAGAACAAAGATGAAATACTACCAGCAGATTACTTTTCTTTAACTTTGTCAAGCACTGGGAGTCAAAGAAAAGATAGCACTGCAAGAAGAGACTTCCTTTTGAAAGCAGCTTTACCAGCAACACACAGAAGGAAATGGAGGAAAGCATTCCGGAAGTCTTGCTTAACTCTTCTGTGAGAGGATGCCAAACCAGATGATCTGAGAAGCTCCCAAGGCAGACAGACACAGGGAGACCACAGCAACTCTTTGGAGCGCAGCAGCGGCACCACAATCCAACCTACTGGAAATGCTGCGGGTCATTTGAGGCTTGCCCCGCTAGTCCTGAGGCGATTCAGCGACGGTTACAAACGCTCCCCTAGTGCTTCCCGGATCTGGCACACCTGGCTTGCCCACCACCAAGCTGGAGACAGCGCCAGGTGTGGAATCCCGGAGACCAATGAAGACCCCAACTTTGCAAATTTGGGGCTTGAGATCTCCCGCCACTCAGGTCCCCAGAGGTAACCCATTTCTGGCCTTGAAGGTGGGGCAAAGGGTCAATGTCCTCCACCAGATCTAGGAGGATGTGCCACTGAAGCTGCTCCATCCCTCCACCTCCTGGGATGCCACAGGAAGACTCCCCCACGAGTTTATTCCCCATGGCACATGAGAGCAGGGCTGCGGCCGGCAGTGGCAGGCTAGGAATCCAAGGCAGGCAACTTAAGCGCTCAGGGGGCCAGGCGCGCCCGCCCCGCTGGCACAGCAAAAGTTGTGGAGGCCACTGGCACGCACATCAACCCAGCTGTGCGCCTCTGTTCTCGGACTCACCGCTCTCCCGGCTTGGCGCGGCGCCCTTACCTCGGAAAGGCTGGGTGGACTTCCCCCTAAACCTCGACTTCCTACTAAACCTTAAACTTTCAGTGCAGATCCCGACGGCAGCCCCGCGGCGACACTCACCTCGGAAACACTGCCTGGACGTCACGGTAACTTAGCACGCTGCCGATGCACCGGCCCGTGCCACCGATGAGCTGCCCGCGCCTACCGCGACGCTGATGCCCAGTCACCGCCGACGCACCGACCGAGCCTCGGACGCCGCTGTCTCCCCACAGACTCTCTGGGCGCCTCCGACGCGCGGTCGCCGCAGACCCTCTGGACGCTGCTGACGGGGACCGCGCCGCCGACGCCAATGACGCTGTAAGCGCCTGGGACGCCGTGGACCCGCTGACCGCTCGCGGCCGCCCAGGAAGAGCCTACCGCGCCACCTACACTCCCGACGTGCCGACTGCACCACTGATTCCATCCGCGCCTGCGACGCCGCCGCAGCACCTCGGATGTCGCCTTCGCGTGGCAGAGGCCGACCGCGCCGTGAACATCCCCAACATGCCGGAGACGCCCACTACGCAGACCGCAGCGCGTACACCCCCGACGTAGTGACAGTTCCTGGGACGCCACCATCGCGCCGTAGACCTCGCGGATGCCGTCAGCGCCTGGGACCCCGCAGCCGAACTGATGACCGCGCCGCAGATGTCCCCGACCAGCATACCGCGCCGCCGATGCCACTGACGTTTTGTGCGGCTGGGAAGCCCCCGAACCGCTAACCGCGCCATGGATGCACCCGACCAGCTTACTGCATCGCCTACATTCTGCACGCGCTGACCGCGCCGCCGATGCATTCCGCGCCTGGGACTCCTCCGACGCACCGTAGACGCCGGGGTCGCGCCGCGGACGTCACTGACGCGCCGACCACGCTAACGCCATAGAGCCCCCCCCCCACACGCTACCTGCGTGGATCGCGCCTCCAAAGCCGCTGACGGAATCGAAGCGCGGACCGCGCCACCATGGCACTGACCTTGTGAGCGGCTGGGAAGCCGCCGAACCGCTAACCGCGCCGAGGATGCACCCGACCAGCTTACTGCATCGCCTACATTCTGGAGGTGCCGACCGCGCCGCCGATGCACTCCGCGCCTGGGACGCCTCGGACGCACCGTAGACGCCGGGGTCGCGCCGCTGACGTCACTGACGCGCCGACCACGCTGACGCCATAGAAAAGCACCCCCCCACGCCACCTGCGCGGATCGCGCCTCCAACGCTGCTGACGCAGTCCAAGCGCGAACCGCACCACCGGCGGCACTGACGTTGTGAGCGGCCGGGAAGCCGCGGAACCGCTAACCCTGCCGTGGATGCACCCGACCAACTTACTGCATCTGCTACATTCTGGACGATGAAGGGCAAGTGTCTGCTGCTTCTCGGCCTCAGTCCCCTTATCTGCAGATCAAGACAGTGTCCCTGTCCTGGGTCAGCTCCCCGAGCCAGTGGATAAGGAAACTCAAAACTAATTGGGGGCTAGGTGTGGCAGCTCACGTCTGTAATCCCAGCACTTTGGGAGGCTGAGGCGGGTGGATCACTTAAGGTCAGGAGGTGGAGACAAGCCTGGGCAACATGGTGAAATACTGTGTCTACTAAAATACAACAATTAGCCAGGCATGGTGGCATTTGCCTGTAATCCCAGCTACTCAGGAGGCTGAGGCAGGAGAATCGCTTGAGCCAGGGACGTGGAGGTCGCAGTGAGCCGGGATAGCACCGCTGTACTCCAACAACTCTGTCTCAAAAACTAACTGATGGGGAAGGAGAGAGGAAAGCCAAGCGGAGGATGGGTCGGCCCTGCCCTGAGGACAGGTGGCCAGGTAGTGTCAGAGAAGCTGGGGCTCCCACCCTCAATGCCACAGTACCTCTCAGGGCTCCCAGGAGGCTGAGAAGGTGGAGGGGCTTTAACATAAGAGGCTGAGCAGAATTGTTTCAAGGGGGTGCGGCGGGGACTGCCTCATGACACGTTTCCACTTTGGGTTTGTGGTCTCCCACATCCTGCCTGCCCACTGGTCTGTGTCCTGTGGTCTCCTCTGTGCCTCTTCCCTGCCTGCAGGAGGGTGTCACAGCCCCACCTGGGATGTGATGCAGGTCACCTCAGATGGTGCAGTGTTGACAGCTTCTTTCCTCTGAAGAGGAAACATATATGAATCTTTGCTTCATGACAGGCCTTGTTCTAAGGGCTCGGGGTACAGCAGTGAACAAGATGAATGTGGTCCCTGCTCCCACAGAACTGATGTTCGGATAGGGTAGGGGAATGAGAAATGGACAGATGCATGCCTGAGGAAAACCCAACAGGTGAAGGAGGTGGAGGATGACTTGGGCGAGGGTGGGGCTGCACTGGCAGTGGCCACTCTAGGGAGGTGAGCTGAGGCCTGACTGATGAGAATGAGCCAGCCAGAGGAAAAGCATTCAACTGGCAAGAGACGCAGAGGCCCAGAGTGGACTTCTCCCTTTCTGGGGGAGGTGGTGCTGTTAGTTAGCCCTTAGGAGAGAGACATGGATGCCTGTGGGATAGTTCGGGGACATCCCCGACGCCTTCGAAGGCAGTGGACTCCTGGCCTCCCCAGACCCCACGCACATCCCCAGAGAAACCTCAGTCTTTGGTCCTGGATTCCTCCCACCTCTGCCTTCCTGGGGAGTCATGCCACAAGTTAACTGACGTTTCTCTGAAACAGTGAGCATTTGCGTTGTTTCCTTAGTGCTTCCGCTGGGGTGTGTGGTGACTGGCTTCCCTCAGGAATCAGGGCACCTCCCAGGCAACCCTTGTACCTTCATCCCAGGACTCTGTCTTCTGGCCCACCCATCACACCCATCAGTCAGTCAGTCTTGCCATGACCCTTTCTCTCAAAGAAACAAGATGAGCATCCTCTTCACGGTGGGGAGGAGACCCACGGCCCTTGGAGGTGGGGTGGGGGTTCTAGGGCCCTCACTGGTACCTCACCTATCTGCTGCACAGAGCCAGAGAACATCCAGGATCCTGAGAAGAGTGGACCCTACCAATGGCGAACCCACATGTAGTCTCACCCACCACCAGTCCTATACAGGGAGCTCCAGACTGCAGACATGTGAGGTGCTGTGGCCAAAGTTCTCATGTCCTGAGGAGTCTGCAGTGATAAACACAGAACCTCATATACAACCGCATGCTGCTTTTTTTTTTTTTTTAAGACAGGATCTCCCTCTGTTGCCCAGGCTGCAATGCAGTGGCACCATCACAGCTCACTGTGGTTTCAACCTCCAGGGCTCAGGTGATTCCCCCACTTCAACCTCCTGAGTAGTTGGGACCACCAGGGCACACCAATCAGCCCCTGGCTACTTTGTTAAATTTTTGGTAGCGATGTGGCCTTCCTTGTGGCCTAAGCTGGTCCCCTGGTCTCCAGGGATCCTCCTGCTTCAGCTTCCCAAAGTGCTGGAATTACAGGTGTGAGCCACCACACCAGCCTCGTGTTACTTTTGATCAGCATTTTTCGCCTTTCACAATGAATTTATTTTTGTTTTTATTTTTTGGGATGGAGTCTCACTGTTGCCCAGGCTGGAGTGCAATCGTGCAATCTTGGCTCACTGCAATCTCTGCCTCCCGGGTTCCAGTGATCTGACTCAGCCTCCCAAGTAGGTAGGATTACAGGCATCTCCCACCATGCCCAGCTAATTTTGTATTTTTAGAGATAGGGTTTCCCCATGTTGGCCAGGCTGCCTTTCTGACCTCAAGTGATCTGCCAGCCTCGGACTCCCAAAATGTTGGGATTACAGGCGTGGGCCACCTCACCCAGCCATTCTTTCACAATGAATTTTAGTCCCATATGTTCCCAATTAACAGATAGGAAAACCAAGGCAGGGAGCAGAGGAAACTCTGGAACTCCCAACTTCCTTCCCCTTGTACCCTAAAACAAGTTCTCTGAGCCCCTCTCCCCATCCTCTTATGCACCCAGACTGTGTCCCTCCAGGGAGAATGTGCTATGAAACCTATCAGACAAGGCCTTTGACTGGCCCATCTGCAAGGCCTTCCTGGAGCAGAGGTTCTTCAATGGCATTGGCAACTATCTGCGGGCAGAGATCCTGTACCAGTCAGCAAGCAGGCATGGGCATGGGGACGGGTGGGCCAGGTGTGTCCACATTCCCCATTGTCTAGCATGGCTTTCCCCCACGGCCACTCCAGGCTGAAGATCCCTCCCTTTGAGAAGGCCCGCTCGGTCCTGGAGGCCCTGCAGCAGCCCAGGCCGGTGAGCCCGAGGGATGGAGCATGTGCTGCCACACTGGTGTCCATGCAGGCTGCCTAGTGGATAAGTGGGGTCAGGTGTCCCCAGCTTAGTTCAACAACGGGGATGGGGAGGGGGTGAATGGCCCAAGGTCCTGCCAAGCTCAGAGGGAAGGTCAGCTGCCTTTACACGACCCCGTTGACAGACAGGTCCTGCCCCTGCTCCTTCCTCATAGCCTGGAGCTGACCCTGAGCCAGAAGATCAAGGCCAAGCTGCAGAACCCTGACCTGCTGGAGTTGTGCCACTCAGTGCCCAAGGAAGTGGTCCAGCTGGGTGAGGCCAAAGATGGAATGACCTCTGCTGGAGCAAATTATTGTGTAACCCTGGGGCAGGTGTCCCTCTTTGGGCCTGATTCACTGGCTTGGATGTTTGTAGCCCTAGCTGTTACTCAGTGGACTAGGCCTCACTTGTCAATAGTGTTTCCTGGCTGGGTGCGGTGGCTCATGCCTGTAATCCCAGCACTTTGGGAGGCTGAGGTGGGTGGGATCATCTGTGGTCAGGAGTTCCAGACCAGCCTGGCCAACGTGGTAAAACCCTGTCTCTACTAAAAATGCAAAAAATTAGCTAGGCATGGTGGCAGATGCATGAAATTGCAGCTACTCGGGAGGCTGAGGCAGAACTGCTTGTACCCGGGAGGCAGAGGTTGCAGTGAGCTGAGATCAGGCCATTGCACTCCAGCCTAGGCAATGAGCGAAAACTCCTTCTGAGGAAACAAAAAGGGTTTCCTCAACCCATGAGACACACAGGACAAGGATTCTTTTATATATTCACACACACACACACACACATTTTTTGGTAGAGATAGAATCTCACCATGTTGCCTGCACTGGCCTCAAGTGATCCTCCCACCTCTGCCCCTAAGTGGCTCAGCCTGCAGGCCCACACCACCACACTAGGCTAATTTTTTTTTTAAAGTTGTAGAGACACGGTCTCCCTATGTTGCCCAGGCTTGTATTGAACTCCTGGCCCCAAGGGATCCTCCCACCTCAGCTTCCCAAAGTGTTGGGATTCCAGGTATGAGTCACTGTGCAGGGCCAGGACAAGGATCCTTAACCCCCCTCCAGGATGGGAAAGTCGTGGCTGAGTGGGAAGACACCAGCTGAGGTCACATCACCAGAGGGAGTTTGGCCCCTGACTCAGTCCATCAGCTTGTGTAGCTGAGGTCTGGGCCAGGTCTAACCAGCCTCCCTGCTTTTCCTAACCCATCTGCCCTCTGATCTCTGCCTGTTCCTTTGTCCCACAGGGGGCAAAGGCTATGGGTCAGAGAGCGGGGAGAGGGACTTTGCCCCTTTTTGTGCCTGGCTCCCGTGCTATGGCATGCTGGGCATGAGCTCCCTGCAGGACCAGCATGGCCACACCATCTGGTTCCAGGTTGGGCACTGTTCACACAGGCAAAGAGACCCCACGAGGCTGATGGGTGGAAATGAAACCTGGGGTCACAAGAACTGGGGTGGAGATGCTTGGGGCCTGTCTAGACCCTCCAAGGATCACACTGTTTCCGAGGGTCATGCCACTCCCCTCCCTTTCGTCCCAGGGTCGCAGCCAGTCAAAGTAGCTAAGGGCAGGGCAGCTTTGCTGATGTGGACTCTGACATGGGGGAGGTCCCAGAGGCTTCCTAGGGCAGAAGCTACACTGATCTGGAAGGGTGTGTGTGAGTCCTGCCTCTCCCAGGAATACTGCCCCTGAGCCAGTGCAGGCTGAATTAACCCCATCCCACTTTAGGGGGATCCTGGACCATTGGCACCCAAAGGTAAGCTACTCCTAATGTAATAGGCTGAGAGCAGAAAGGACTTAGGGTTACAACACCCTTCTCTACCCTATCCCCCTGCAACCCTGGGAGTCCCCCCCCGGGGCAGGACAGACTGTCCAACTCCAACACCAGTGTCTTGCAGGGGGCAAGTCCTGAAAAAAGAAATCCAAGGTCACACAGCCGAGTCCTGAGGACGGAGTGGAGGTATGGCTGCCTGCTCCGCCGCCTCCTCCCTTGTACTCCTGCACTGGCTGCCCCCGTCC